GGGGGTGGGCTCGTGTGGGGAGCCACGGGGGGTGGGGGGGTCATCCCTGCCCTCCTGGGGGGTCTGCGGGGCAGGATGGGGATGGGGCTGAGCGCTTGCCAGATGTGTGTGGGGCCAGATGTGTGCTGGGGTCAGATGTGTGCAGGGCCAGATGTGTGCGGAGCCAGATGTGTGCTGGGGTCAGATGTGTGCTGGGTCAGATGTGTGTGGGGCCAGATGTGTGCTGGGGTCAGATGTGTGCAGGGCCAGAGGTGTGCGGGGTCAGAGGTGCTCCAGGGTGATGGATGGTCCCTCTGGCACTTCCCTCTGGCACCTGGAGGACGTGTTGGTGAGGCTCAGGGCACTTTTGCCCACCCTGTGTCCCCAGGGGGACAGGGACGTGCCTGGTGCTGTGTCCCCACCAGCTCTGTCTGCTCCAGAGGATTGAGCACCTGCGGCAAGCTCCAGCTGGTTCGGCCGCCCCGGCTGTTCCGTGGGGTTAATTCCCATGGGACATGGCTCGGTGGGAGCTGGGTCGGGGCCACCCTCCCACACAGCAACCCCCCCCCGGGATGACCACTTGCCAGCTGTGGTTTAACAGCCCAATTTCCTGCCGGCTCCCGGGTTGGCTCGCTGCGATGCCGGGTTTGTTCCATAGCCCCAGCACAGCAGGTGTGTGGGTGGGCACCCCAGCTCCTCTCCCTGTCCCTTGGCTCCCCCCGGGGCTGAGCTCACCCTGGGGCAGCTGGTTGGGCAGCATTTCAAGGCGTGCAGCCCGTGGACGTGGCGCGGGGCCCAGCATGGCCGGACTCGCCACGCGGCACCAGCCTCGGCTGCCCCTCAGCCTGTCCCTTGGAGGCTGCAGCCTGTCCTGGGCCACCCCGGGTGGTGTCACCCCCAGCCTGACCCCATGGAGTCGATAAATCCTGCCCAGAGCCCCTTGCCCGGGTGGCGATGTGGGGGCTCAGGGAGGGAGAGGATTCCACAACCCTGCTGGGAGAGGGATCCATCCCAGATCTGGCTGAGCTTTGCCACAGAATGTTGGTGCCCCTGGCTCATCGAGGGTCCTGGTGCCCTGGGGAGGGGGTGTCAGGGCGCTGGGTGGTCCCACCCTCTGCTCTCCCCACAGAGCCCCTGGAGAACGACTCGGAGCCAGGAAAGGGCGGCACTGCGGGGAAGCCCTGGAAAGAGGAGCCCAGCCTGGCAGAGCTTGACCTGGACACGGCAGGTATGGCTGTCCCCAAACCCCCACTGGACACTGTGTCACGGGACACCCCCAGCCAGGACACCCCAAAGGGGCTGTGCCAGGTGATGCCCACCATGCCAGCCCAGGGAGGTGCCACCATCCCCCCCCCAGCAGTGTCCCCAAGGCTCTCCCAGTGCCCTCCACCCCTTTCCATGATCCCCTCAATGTCCCCAATCTGTCCCCAGTGCCGGTAGCACCCCAGGATGGAAGGGGGGGTGCGGGAGGGCTGTTCCCCACTGGTGCACTCAAGGTTTTGCTCCATCCCAAGGTGGAGGAGCCGAGTGGACGTCGTGGTTCAACATCGACCACCCCGGGGGGGACGGGGACTACGAGAGCCTGGACGCCATTCGTTTCTACTACCGCGGGCGCGTCTGCGCGCGGCCGGGGGGCCGGCCGGGCCCGGCCACCCCGGGGGGGG